CCAATATGCATAAACTGCGGACACTGTTTATACGCAGCCCTCACAAGCCACACACGGCCAGATATCTTATCTAAGAGTTAGAACCTACATACGAGACACAACCTTAATAGTCAGAAAAAAGTGTGATTTATTTTCTGATATTTTACACATATTATATTATGAATACTGTGGGCCTACATACCTTAGTGTGATTATAAGTGCATGTGAGTGAATATTGGCATGCAAATTCGTTTTTATACGTCCTATTCATTGTCTCAATACGCTCATACAGCCCATTATGCAAATGCACCAACTTGGCTGCCGGAGGAGAGTACCAACGTTAATCGGCGATACTCCTGGCGACTAAAAGTGGCTTTTGTCATGATAAAAATAAACCTATTTGGTTTTCTAAGTGTTATTCTATCAATATGACAATAGAGAGACATGTGCATAAACAACAAAACAAAACATTTTAAGAGTAGTAGGGCATAATGTTCTAACAATGTTATCAAAAACATCTTAAGAAGGTTATCACCTAACATTTTAAGAATATTTTTAGAGAACGTTATCCTACCTTTCAGAAGAACATTCTGGGAACCAAAATAAAACTTCCTGCTGAAAACATTCCTAGAACAATGAATGGTAACATTCTCAGAATGTTTTTAGAACCAAAAATGTCTAGCTGGGAACTCACACATGCACCGCAAACATGCAATATCTGTTTACAGCTTATCATGAATTACATGCTTGTCTGTTTTTTTCAAAAGGAAAATGTGGTGACATCACATTTTTTAAAACATCCTTTTCAAACAAACAACTTGTATTTTATGACAACTCCTGCTCAATTCTGTTTGTTGTAAAGCACTTTGGCACAAACCTGGTTTATTTTTTAAAGCGCTCTACGAATAAATCTGACGTTGTCGATGACCGTGTTAATATTTCGCATCACAGGAACGTTATATAAAAAATGAATAACCTCCTGAAAACCTATAAAAAACGTTCTGTCACCTCAGGCCAAACAAAAAAACATCCTCAGAATGTTGTAGGCAAAACGGTCCGCCTTTGTTAACATATCACATTAAAAGGAACATTTTATAAAACACTTTCTGTCATCTCAGGCCTCATAACATCCTTAAAACATTTTCTGAATGTTGCTTTGAAAATGTTCTTCTTTTGTAATCATGTAACATTGAGGTATGTGTTATAAAAGAACATCTGTAATGTGTTACCTCAAAAACGTCCAAAAAACATCTTTAGAATGTTGCAGGCAAAACGTTCCACCTTTGTTAACATATCACATTAAAGGAACAATTTATAAAAAACACCGTCATCTCAGGCCTTAATAACATCCTCAAAACATCCTCTGAATGTTGCAGTTAAAATGTTATGCCTTAGTTAACCTTAAACCTTATATGAACATTATTTAAAAATGATAAACATCCTGAAAAGGTTCTTTGATTATCAGATTAAAATGTTTTCTTTAAAACATTATTAGAACCTGTAGGTAACGTTAGCCAAAGTTGTGATAACGTTACCTGCTAGCCGGGACAGCAGTCGAATACAGTAAATGCATACAAGGGATCTGATGGGTATCATTATGGCTTAGAAACTGAAGTTTTTAAATGTATTAATAAATTATGAAAAGCATGATAAAGATATATCAGGTTGTATTAGTGAGTACATCATTAATGTTGCCATACAATAACATATTGTGAGCTTTCTGTACATCATCTTTAAGAGCTTCCCACATAAAATTGAAGGATCTGTGTCGACGGCACAGTTAAGTGAAACAAAACATCCAGCAGATTTTATTGGAAATGCATTACAAGAGAAAGACAATCATCTGACTAGAATTGAAAATAAATGCACGTACCATACAATGTTGTGTCACAAAACAATTGGTAAATAAATAACACAGAATAAGAAATGTACGTATATATTCGGTCCTTTAAGAGACACTGAAATGAATTTTAGGATTTGAGACTTCAAGAATGAGTGTTGAAGGCTCTTTTTTTTTTTTTAAATTGCACCTTGGATTGCAAGGACATATTGATTGTTCAGAAGTTGTATTGATTGAAGCATCTAATGTATGGATTCATGCAGAGTTACTTAGTGTAACATCTATTGAGGCTTGTTTCCATATATAAACATTGGAGTAAACATGACAGATACTGTGCTGAATTCACATCTCTTACCCAAAATTTAGGATATCAAAATAGCTATGGATTATATATTACTGTAGGTTAAAGAGAATCACTTTAATCACTCTGTATTTATATTTTTCCCTTTTATGCAAATTGACCATTCAGGGAGGTAAACCACAAGGTGTTATTAGAAGCGTGGTGGGATAACTTTGAAAATTATGCATTATCCTGGTGGCTCTGATTTAAATTTGTGAAACTAAACTTGAAAAGATAGGGTTCAGTCATGCATAGAATATATCATAATATTTTTTATATCATCCCACCAGCTTATCTGATTTGTGGAGTTCCTCCAATGTGATATACTCTGAATATATATATATATATATATAAGATAACGCTTTTGACATAATACAAAAACAAAACATAATGCATGTGCAAAACTGCCAAGGAGTATTTCCACAATAGTAGACTATACTGTACATACATAAAAAAAGTGATAAATGATTGTGCTACCTAAAGGATAAGAAAACAAAAAGTAATTTGTCACTTAACAAAAAAATCAAAGTACAACTAAAATAGTTGTACTGTCTATGTAATATGTGATACTTAAAAACATTACAAAAGAAAATCTTACATTTGCTGTATCACTGAACACAAATGATCCTATAACATACTCATTTATGCATTTAATTCTTGCCCATCTAACCCCAATGTCAAGATCCTCCCTGACCAGCCGTCAGCTGTCACTGTACACCTCAACCAGCCCAGTCTACTGCTCCTCCAGCCAGGATGGCTTGTCTGTTCCCGGGGGCTTTAACTTTACATTGAACTGTATTAGAGTTTGTTCCAATTGCTCCTGGTTGCCAGCAAAGTAGGCGGAGATAGCATTGTGGAAGAGAAGCAGCTGCTTGTGCATAACCTTAACCTAAAGAAAAAAGAAGAGGGAAATGTTGCCATTACTAACACAGTTTCTAAATTCTAGAGGAAGAGTACATCCCATGGACATCTGTTAAGATAACATTTACAAGCGGTTTATTTAGATTCTAGGGAATCAACCAGAAAGCAACTTGCACATATTATTCCTCTATTTATTCCCAAGCTTCAAATACAAACAAATGTTGATGTAATTCTTTCTTACTTAGTTGATGAAAACTATCAGACATTAGTGTTTGATTTTAAACAGTGTCTCAGATTTTAAACAATGTCTCAGTTTCGATTTTGACAAAACTAAGACATTTGCCTTTTATTGTAATTATCAACAGCATAATTATGCTCATGTCTGTGCACGAAGAAGCCTGCCTGCTTCCTCTGGTTGCTCAGTTCTGCGTCAATAGATGAATATGGGCAGAGATTGAGTGGGGCAACTCAACCTCAAACCACTGCTGTAGTGCATAATAGTTTTGATTAACCAAACTACTGATTTTATTCTACATTCAGAATGACAGGTAATTGAGTCTTTTTAAAGAGGTAACCTAACACCGGACTGAAGAGAGGAGTTTCACTGGTTGACAGTTTTAAGCCTGTTTCAGCTCTTACCACACCCAGCATCACTGGTGGTTGGGGTTGGGTGAGGTCATAAATGTTGCAGACACTCCCAACAGTGATGTCATAGGTTCCTGAATACTTTACCTACACATCACTGCAGACATTTGAGACGTTAATCCAGTGGAGATCAGATATAACAATAACAGATTTCCGGAGGTATTAAGCTACTCTTTTAGTAGACAGACATTTGAAATGACTTTAAACCACAAACCTTGTTTTCGTCCAGGAATTTGAGCTTGATGGTGACATCACTACGCAGCCTTTCATATTTGTCTCTTTGGATCTGGTAATCATGCTGAGCCATCTCTATGCGGACCATGGCAGCTGCATCCCTGGGGCCCATACTCAGCTCCTCCATATCAGAACGATAGGCATCAAACTCAAGTCTGCACGGAAAAAACCAGTTCAGGCTGTCAGGCTCTCATTCTCCAGGTGATAACCACAAAGGTATTCAGATCATATTCTTCACCTATCAGGTTTTGTTACCTTGCATTCTCATACAATTTAATGGTCAACAGAGTATCCTCCATTGTTTTGTTGACCAGTGTGTCGATACTGGACACAAAAAAGCTGATTGCACTGAGGAGAGACTCGCCATTTCTGCACAGCAGTTTTTGTGTTTCTGCATTATACCCAAACTCGTCCTGCAGAGAAACACAATTTGACCTGTCAACTTCAGTTCCCTCTCACATCACACTGGGAGCTTTTGCAATACTGAACAGTACCTGCAACTCAGGGGACTTCTGGCTGAGGTCGGAGAAGGTGTCTCCCAGCGCCTGTTGTGTCTCCACCATGCTTTGGAAATGAGTGGTGAGTGCAGTGGTCAGTTTTAGGATGGTTTCATACTTGCTCTTGGTGTCTCTCAACACGTCAATCTGAGCTTCCAGTTCCAGGTCTACTGTTCTTGAACCTCTGCCAAACCTCTCTGAGAACATCTGCTTTGTACACTACAAAGAGGAAATGCATAAAGAAAAGCAGATTAAATTAAAGGTAGGATAGTTAATTCACTTCAGAAACACTTTTTGTTATATTCCATGAAATGCTTTAAGAATAAATACATGAAAACATTTAATCTGTGGAAGCCGTGGTACTGTAAAAAGCACAACCAATTATTTTAGCCGGCCCGGCTAAAATAACTGGATGGCCTGCCTGCCTGTCAGCCTTCCATCTCGTGCACAAACTTATCTGGTGCCCTCATTAGTCATGTGTGCGTTCGTGTGTGTGTTGGAGGAGGGGCTCTGTAAGGAAGTCTGAAGGAAGGTGCAGATTTTTTTCGGCTGCGTACTTTCAAATTCTAGCGCACTCGAGCTGGTTTCTCCATTCTACCCTACCTTTAAAAGGTAGTACAAAGTCATTATGACTGAAAAACACATGTAAAAGGTGGTCTAGTGCTGCAATTTACAATTATTTTTAAATATAGATTAATCTTGATCATTTATAGATTCAATTATTAATCCTAAATTCAGAAAATAGTGAACAATGTTTAATCCAGGTTCTCAAAATCCAAGGTGATTGAGATGTCTTGTTTTGTAAATCCAAAGCACTAAATACTTTGATAATGGATTAGGTCAATCCATTATCAAAGAATTTAGTATTTATTATTGCATAATAAAACTGATATATATATTAACAACACAGTTAAGCTTGGGACCAAAGGATACCTACAATGTTCACATAATGTATTTTAAACTTCTCTTACATTCTCAAATGTATGTTGGTTCTGCAAAGAATGATAAATAGTGCAAGCATATATCTTTTTGAGCTTGGGGAAACTTTTTAAAGAAAATAATCTACACACAGTACACTATACCTTGTATGTATTTATGCCCCATTTCTTCACACTGTCCAATTTCTCCACTGCCACACCACGAGAAAGTTCTTCGGTTGAATTACCAGTATTATTGTTCGACGACCCTAACAGACACAACAAAAATGTATGAAGACTCTAATGCATGTCATCAAAGTTTAAAAGGCGGGGGGATAAATGAAAAGCATGGACTATGACAATGAGTGAGAACAGTGTGGACATGGTGATGAGCCTGGTGATACCTGGATGCTGGTCTGTGTATTGGGAAAGTCGACTTGCTGCAGATTGGCTGTTTAGCAAGCCAACACCCCTGGATTTCATGCGAATGTCTGTAATGAGCATGGGGATGATAAAGAGTGAGAATGAAAAGATGGCATGAAGGGCAATATGTGTGAAAAAGAGGTTTGGCATGCGGCCGAACAACAGAGTTTGCAGACTGAAAGAAAATGTAAAGCTCCGTGATGGAGGATACATAATACATTGGAGTTAAAGGGATTTTGAAATAATCTACCATGCCGGTTTCTCATGCAGAAGGAAAGGGTTTATTCACAGATGAAAATGGACTTCATGGGATGAGAGGTAACTACCAAACAATGAAAAACTGTCATCCAAAGTACATTTTACAGGAAAAAGAGGACAGTCGTATTAGACAACAATGCAACATTTAAAGTGACAGCCCTGTATCAGGTTAGTGCACCTATAATCCTGGAAGCTGCCAAAACACTTTCTGTTTCTGAAGCTGTGAGTTGAAGAGGCACAAGCAAGTTTTCATATAACATCCTCAGTCAAGCAATATCAAAACCTCTTATACAGAGCCAAACTGATCAACATATATAGGTTAATTTAGAAAACAAAAAAGGGTTGTCAGAATACACAGCCACCTGGTCCCGGAGCAGGGGCTCTTCTTCTGTCCACATACTCAGGGTTGAAGCGTACTGCTGGCCCTATGGGATATGGATGTTTATAATGTGAACCTGGAGCCTAGAGGTCAGACTCTTGTGAAACATCAAAATACAAGAGAGAAAAGGGGGGTCAGGTATCGACCACTTTAGGAGACTTAAGGTTTGCAGCTTTGACAATCTCCTGCTCAGCGCATGGCAGTCTGTGCAGCCTGTAGATGTGGATAAATCAATGATATCTTTGGAGAGCAAACCATGTTCGTAAGAATATGCAACAAAGTGAAACCTGTAAAGGATGGCAGTTTTTTTCCAAACAGTACCTTTGATGCTGCTGGTAGGAATGATGCCCCCTGCAGGTCCTCCATAACCTCCTGAGACAATGCTGGTTTCATTCAGGTTGGGTCCAGACACCATCACCTGCTGCAAGTCCTGATGCGGTCACCACAAAATATTGTTAATTAATATGATTAAGAATGCAATACATATTATCAAATGTAATGGTTTAGAAACTGTGACTATATCTTTGGACATTATCAACTTACAAATAATCTATCATGAAAAACTCAGTAGTTGTACAATACAGTACTAAGTATGCACTATACGTTACTATAACATGACATTGCAGGAGGTTATATTGCACTAACAATATACATGGAAGTGCAATATAACCTCAATACCAACATTTTGTTTGTTACTTATTGTGTTATTAATAATGTGTTCATACTTAGCACTTTTGCCTCACTCTATCTGCACTATCTGCTGTTGTAACAATGTAAATGTCCCCATTGCGGGACAAATAAAGGATTTCTGATTCTGATAATGATATATTCCAAATAAAGAATAATAATACTATGAAAAAAGAATAGTGCAAACTAGGAATTTGTGTGCAAATGAAAAAAAAGCTATTTGCCCAAGGCTACTCCACTCTTAGTGGACTAACTGTATGTTCTGGCCTTTGTCCACTGAGATCTATTTTCTTTAGCTTTAAAACTTTTCATGCTAAATGACTCATTCACAAACAATTATAAACACATCCAGATAAAACACGGTTTAAAGCTTTACTTTTGCAAGTTTCTTTAAGGAGAAAATCAGTGTTATGTATCTGTCGATTAAGTCAATTAATTAGTCATACTTTGTCAACTGACAGTGAGTCAACCTGCACAGTCACCACACAGAAATAGCTTATATGCTCTTTTCATTATTCAGTATGGTGACCCTACTGTCCTCACACAGACATATTATTCATAGGACAACTGATACTGCAGCTTTCTCATCCCTGTACAAGAATGTGACATTATATCTGACATTACAGTTGTGAATTGATTTTCATGCAAGCTGAAGCTCATAAATAAATGTCATCCTTGTGCTCACTAACCATGCTGTAAACCCATATTTCTCATATGTAGGTATTGATGGGGACAGTTGTATAACATTACAGATCCTGTAAACATCTTGCAGGCCTGTTTGATGTGTAACAGCTGGCCTAAACAGCAGTAGTCATGTGTATCGCGTGAAAAGGGTCCGAGAAACAAACAATCTGAGCAAAAAACACAAAAAAACTGATTTATTTAAAAACCATTGTCAGCTATTTGAGAGAAAATGTGACTGACCTGCTCGAGGCTGTCATCCTCTGGCAGAGTCCCTGTGTCTCCATTGCTGTTAATGGGGATCTCCATGGTTGCAGCCTTGCTCATGATACTGTCTGCCATATTTTAATCTCTGCAAGACAGCACACAGTGACACTTAAAGATAATATTATGTTTGCAGTTTTACAACATGCCTACTGTCTGCAGCGTTCAAGTCCACATTGACATAAAGTATCTTGTTGTTCTTGCTTACATTGATGCTAATGTGGCGGCGCTGAAGTGGCTATAGTAGTTGACAGCTAGCTTCCTCACCAGTCGAAAACCTGAAGTCAAGCCTTCCGAGGAGAAAAAAGCCGTTATTCACACTTAAAGCAAACTTGAAAAGCAAAATGTTCAACGGGAAAGCACCGTTGTTGTATTAGCTATAATGCAATGCTAAATCCATCCATTGTTATCCATTGTTTTTCCTGCAACGTTCACGTTATCTGCCTGCTTTCATGTAATTCAGCCAGAAAATCCCTGCATCCATCCAGCTAACAGCTTTAGTAGCACTTCGAAATAAAATACTATGTGATTTTTATTCTATTGCAAGTCAGATGGCAGGGGTTTAAAATCAATGCAATTCAAGTAAAACATAGGATCTTCACTCTTGAGTTCGTTTTATTAAATACATGAGAGACTGGAAGCGTATAATGTGAATGGATGCTATTATTTTGAAGGGTAATACCTTGAATGTAGCATCACCGTCAAGCTTCCTCCCCCGCTCCATCTTCCACGTAGCGCGGTGCTGACGTAGCTTTATCCCTTAACTGCAGTGTTCTGCTGCTACGGAAGATGTCACTAACAGCTCACTGACTAGTGAAAAGAAAATCTGAATTGTCAAACATACACTGAGCTCTGCATTAGTAACTCAAGGTGTTGGCCCCTTTAATGTTGTGATTATTAGTCATTATAAGGCAGGATGTTTCGTCCTGCCTGTTACATTGATTGCAATATCTCTCGAAATCGAATTGTATAAATACAGTCGTCTGTTGTGAGATGTGAAAGGCCTGGAGATAGACCTCACCATAGTAAACTGACCACACTTTCAATTATTTGCCTCATTTGTTTAAATCAGGGATGCAAGGGAAGTGCTTTTGTGATTACTCCAGGTTTGAACAGGGAACCAGCCCCTCACCCACCCACATTTATTACAGTAAATGGCCCCTGATGTGATGATTTCCTGCAAGTGCACATATTTTCCAAACATGTCATTTGGAGAAAACATTTTCCCGTGCTTGCTTTTTCTTAATCAACCCTGTCTTCTTCCTTTGTCAGGATTTTTGATCATCCACATATGACTCAATTTGATTATTGCATCAACAAGTTCAAAGACAATGTGATAGCAAGGGGTGATTTTAGGTCATGTGTTTGCCCGTAATCAACATGTCAAAGATTAATTGACAGGCATGATATGTGTTCTGCTTTTGTTCCTCTTTTTAAAATGCATAGAATACTATGCTGAACAAGGACATTCATTGTCAATCATCCAATAAACACAATATGGAGATCCTAAGGTTTAGAATCGTGTTTTTTATAATGGCAAACTTAGAAAGCATAAAAACAAGGCTTAAGTTGTTCCTATCAACATTCAAACCCAAGACAGTAATGTGCTTTGGGGCATAATATACAAGTTGTGTCAATCAATGCCTTCATTTATCGAGGACAGGAACTGAGGTCACAGAAATTGTAAAGGTAATGAGGCTGTTGCTGTTGCTACTTTAGTGAAATTTTGGTCAGTGAATAATTGTATCTGTTTTGACTTACCATTTGAATAGAGTGACTAACTCAATATCCTTTAGCTCCGGTACCTTTGACCTGCACATTATTCATGGGCCACAAACGGCCTGCTGTTGCTGTTAGTAGAATTTTAAAACCAGTTGTTTTTGTCTTTTGGAGTGTAAGTGAAGGAAACTATGTGCTGCGGTTAATTACTAGCATTGCACGAGATTGCAAGCTGCAATTAGGTATTTTAGGCTTATTAAAGAAGGCTTTAATCACAAATTCTCTCATGTTTCAGAATGTTAATGTGATAAACATCACATCAACTTAGCTTCATGGCAGTTAACAGATTTATGTTTTAAGGTGCAGCTGTGTTGGTTAATACTTGTTCTTAAGCTCTCTCTAATTTTAACTTTGAATATAAATGTTAAGACACCAGACCCTCACACAGGAGAATGTCAGTTTTGTTTTGCCTATACATTTAGAACAAGACCAAATTAAATGTTAAAGGTCTTCTGAGTATCTGCTTTGCATGTCACAAATCCAGTGCATGTAAATAGATGGAGACCTAAACCGCAGTGTACCCTGCCCCCTTTCATTTAGGATATCTTGTTTTTAATGATCATTAAGCTATCTTCCAGATGTTGGGAGGTCAGATATTCTCCACACAGTTCCCTGTGCTCTGCAGCAGCAACAAGGAGTACCGAGTGAGACAGAGGAATCCAGAAAAACCGGGCTAAACAGTGCTGCCTGCATCTTTACTCCATGGGAATTACAAACAGCGCTCAAGTTTCACATAACAAGGCATATGGAAGTACTTTTTTTAAAGCGTCTTTAATGCTTTTCAAAAAGTCTGTCAAACTTTTTCCCAGTTAGTAATTCAATCAATGCTCTCAGAGAAACAGCCATTCATCTTCATAATAGATCCTTGGATGCTGTGAATATCAATCATAGAATCTCTGAGAAGACAACACATCTTTGAGAACAACAATGCATATTTATAGGCTTTCCCTTTATTCAATAACTAATGAACAGTACAGATATTTTTTTCTGTGGGAAATAATGCATGGTTGAGATGGTAGATCACACTTCTAATGAAAAGATACATTTTGATTGACGGACTCTTTGTTCCATTTTTCTTCCCTGCTATCTTCTACGTTTTTTGAGGTTTCAATTAGGTATAAACACAAAGCTGTCAAGATTATATCACGTTGCAAACAAATAGAGAAAAGTAACATGATATCAATTGAAAAGAAATTCAGAAAACAAAGACCATTATTTTGTTCGTGTGATAATGCGATAACACGTTCTTTTGAATTTATTTTCAAGGTAGATTTCTCTTTGATACAAACCACCTTGTTGGTGGTGAGAACAACGACCTTTGGTTATATGGCGTGAGAGCCATGCCCCCAGATAATACATGCTATTCTATTGTCCTGATGTTTCCACTTAAAGTCACCTGCATAATCAGAGGGACAACCAGTCAGAGGCCGCAAATAAAATGAGGGGCCAATTTAAGAATCGTAAATCCCACAAGCGCTTGTTGGCATTTTCACTGAAGTGTTAAAGCAGTTAATTGGGTTTTCATGAACGCTACCTTTGGTTGGCACAGAGAGGCTGCGGTCAGGATACGCATGAAAGGGCAGTTGTTTAGTTTCTTTATACTGTTTATTCACTTTACTTTGTCATGCAATTTTCTGTGATACAGGTCTCCAATTTAGCAGTCTCATTCATTTTAGTAGCAGGCATTTTCTCAAACCCCGAATAAGGACTGCCATGTGAAGAGATAAGAATTCCATCTTAAATATAACTGTATATACTTATACAATACAAATGCAACTCAGTCAAAAACAATTCCTTTTAAATACATATTATAAAGATGACCAACTATAATATTGTTACATTAGGATAGGGTAGGATTCTGAGCTATGAAGCAATTTTACAGAAGATCCCTCTGCAAACTGTCAATTATTTCAACTGCAAATAGCCAACTAATTAAAGACAAAGTATGGTTACTAAAAAACAACTTTGTATGACAATTAGAGTTCTTTAATTATTTCTCTGTCAAACATATTATCTGTGCTGGTTCCTAAAGATAGAGCAAACATTTAAAACTTGTATTGTAGCATAACAGCTGATGAACTAGAAGACTTCTGGTTAACCACACTCTTCCTCTTAAATTCATATTTGTTCAGGCTGCTGCTTTGTGCTCTTGTTCACTAAGTCATCATGCAGTGTCTTCAAGTGTGGAAAAACTCTATGGAAATGCAATGAAATGTGGGTGTCTCAGAGTAATTCAACTACTGTGTAAAAGAGGAAAAATAAATGGTTGCAAATCAGTGCAAAGTAGGGCTATTTGTGGACCACATGTTTTACTGACTAAATGGTTGTTGGAAGAACTTTTTATTTTTGGAGATTTTATTTCCAGCATTTGAGTATGATGGTAATGGCAAAATGCTACAAAATGTGACTATAGGTATGTGAATAAAACAGAATGATGATAGGGTGTGTGCATAAGAATAGTTATGTGTGTGATAGAGTATGATTGAAACAACAAGTCCTCCAACTCATACGACCAAATAGGTCGATTGTTCAGCAGCTTATTATGACCTATAGCCACGTTTTAAAGTTTAGCACCTCAAGTGGTCGTGTAAGAAACAACAATTTGCGGCAATTGAGGGTCGTATATTCACAAATAACCCTCTCTGGAAAATCCTAAATTGTAGAATAGTTTGGCCATTAAAATGCTTTTTGATTTGATTTCTAGCGAGAAGTGTATATTGCACTTTTAGAATCCACGTCCAGTGGATGTGTAGGATCTATAGTTTGATAGATATTATGAAGATGATTTGAGGTCTCGCCAGGAGAACGTGTATATCTTTCCCTCTATGTAAAGTTAGCGTCAACCCTCACGGGGTGAAAACAGCATTTCCGGTCTCTAAGTTTTCATAATAAAACCGTATTCCCCTCACTGTCAAATGATTTCACAGTGATATCCGCCGTACTCATCCACTAAAACACATCAGTTTATCCTTGTTAATTACACTACATTAATTTGTTTAAATTGTGTACACTGCTTTTGTGTTTTTCCCATAGATTTTTCCCTTTCGATTCTGAGAGAAACATTTATTTTTTCAGAGATTTTGACAGGCTCAAACATCGATCTACCCATATTCCTCAGCTATCGTTGAAGCTTGGTGATTGGATGTTTTAGCCGCAATGCAGGTTGGGATATGGTGTTTATGCGATGTGAAATCCAAAAAACATTTTAAAAGAAAATGATACTTTATTCTGAGTGTGCTTGCTCTTTTCTTTGAAAGTCATCACATAACGGCATTGTA